CCTCATCCGTATGTCATGTGCAGTGACACCCGCCAACTTTGTGTCTGATATTTTATGTCGCCCACTAAAATATTTAAAATAAAAATAATATTATAAACAAATAAAATAAATAAATTTATAAAATTCAAAAAGATGTTAAATAAATGAAATTAAACAATTACCTTGCAGCTAGCGGAAACTCGACTTGACGAGTTCCACCTAATTTCTTTTAAATTTATCAAATTTTTTTATTTTTCAATTTTTAAAAAAAATATTTTTTAATGAACTCGTCACCTCGACATGATGAGTAATTTTAATGACAATAAAATAATACCCCACGTGTGGCTTACTACTTGAGACCATTTAAAAATAATATCCGATGAAACGCTTCACCAAAATAAAGTCTAGGTAGACCTAATACCCTAAATAATTAACCCGCTTGAGTTATTGGGAAAAAACACTAAATTTTCTATCTCAAACCCTTATATAGATGTAAGGGTCTATTTGTTTGGCTGTAATTGGTTTTCTGAAAATTGAATTCTGGAAAATGAATTATATTTCTGGAAAATATTTTCCAGAAAATAGTTTACATTGTTTGGATGTTGTATTGTAAAATGTTTAACGCTGTTTGGTTAGTTTTCCTGAAAACAATTTACGAAATCTTTTTTTTTTTTATAAAAATGTATATATTTTAATATTTTTCTTGTTATTTACATTTTAATTTTTTTTAAGTTATGTTATAAAATTGTATTTTATAAAATTTTGAAATGAAATGTTTTATTTGTATAAGTACACGAAATTAAATTTGTAGATAATATACTAATTTATGTTGATTATGTTATAAATACACAATTTTAGGTTTGAAGTATTCATGATACTTTATCTATTAGCATTTTTAAAATTAAAATTTTAACTCATAATTAATATTATATGTAGGTTTAATTGATATAATGTTGATAATGTATTAAAAATGTATTATCAAAGTATATAATTAAAATTACATCATTATTAAAACAACAATAATACATCACATTGAAATAATAATAATATTTTCAAAGTGTTTAATTAAAACTACACCACATTAAGATAACGATATTATACAACCATAATAATACAAATATATTGTCTAATTCATAATTAGTGCTACAACACATCAAACCAACATATGATTAAAGTCTATAAATAGTACTACAACACATTAAAGCCTAAATATTATCTAAGTCATAAATAGTAGTACTCGACATTAAAAGTTCACATCCTAACTTTGAGGAAACTTTTGAAGCCAAATTTTCCTATGTTTTGGTTTTTTTGCCAAGAAAGCTTTGGCCTCCAACTCATTTTTCGTTAAAAAATCAAACACCTAATAAAGAAAGTCGTCATCAAATCCTTCTTTCTCCATTGACATATCTTCTTCGTAAAGATATGGTGTCTGATCCTCTGTAAATTTTTTTTAGTGCTTCTGCAATCACACCAAGTTTCTCACCTACAAATTTAATATGATAATCCTCGACATTCTCTTAGACATTCTTTCTTTTACGTTTTGATGTACCAGATGAAGATAATTTTAATTTTTCCTCATCGATATCTTGAGTGTCGAAATTTAACGGCACTGAACCTTCATTAACATCATCCAATTTTATATCAGTGAATGTTCTAGCAAAACTCCTTGTTTCCATATCTTGACCAACAACAAGAGCCATCGCATCTTAAAAATCAATTTTTTGTTCAAAAATGGTCCAAATTTTGGGTGTACATGTTAAATATTATACACAGTTAGCATAAAAAGTAAAATTCAAATATCATTTATTAAAATAAGTATATAAAGATTACCGTCATTATAGCATCGTATGTCACTTCGTTGCAAGTTATCATTCTCAAGTTCTCATCCCACCCTAATCCACTTTCTTCACAAATTGTACATATAGTTTTCCATGTATTTTTTATAGTCCTCAAATGATTTTCCACGTGTTTGGTGGCACATTGGACTTGAAATTTTTCGGAAATAACTGTAGCAACTCGATTTATAGAAACTGCTCTGTATGTATTAAATGGCTTATTACCTTTTTGCATATCCTCTGCAAGTATTTCGAGAAATAGACGTTCCATTGGTTTTGTCCACCTAAAATGTTTTGATGTGCTCATTTCTACATTAATAATCATAAAAAAGTAAGTAATTAGACTACTAACAAACATAAATTATCCAGCAATTATGTAACAATTTGTAATATCAACCCACAAATATACACCAAGCACTCAACTCACAAGCATATGTAAATGTCCAACAAACATAAAACATAACATTTATAAAACCAACAAACTTTAAAATTATAATTTCAACATCCAACAAATTATATTCAATGTCCAACAATCTAAAAACATTATCAATTTCAATATTCAACAAACTAAAAACAACAATATTTAAGTCTGTGAATCCAAGAGCCCCAAAGCCAATGCTGAAGCAGCGAATCCCACTATTGTTTTATGAATAGAATTACGTTCCATCTACAAAGAAATTAGACGTCAAAATTTATGAATTTTTTAACTTTATATTAAATTATAACCACTATTGTTTTATGAATAGAATTATGTTCAATCTTGTAGCTAGATAAGTGTTCTTTATTTGTTTTAACTCATTTTGGGTAAAGTCTACTATATCTCAATATTATGTATAAGTTTCATATGAAGTATTAATAATTTATGCCATAAATCATATGGATTTGATCCAAATTTATATTTACCTAACAAAAATATATTATAAGAAACTAGATTCATATTACATTTAAGCTATAACCTAAAGCTAAAGTTCATATTACGTTTAAGCTTTTACCTAAGCTAAAGTGGATGTAATTTATGTCGATATACTATTAAGAATTTATGTCATGTATCATATATTTGAAAAACGTAAGTTATTTCCCTTTTGTGATCAATGATATACCAGGTTCTCCTCGTATTGGAGAAAATTTTAACCAAATGTGCAGGTGGACTCCTATAAGAAGAACCTGTCACAAATATTACAACTAATAAGATTCAGAAAAATAGTTTCAGTCAAGACAAAGCAAACTTATATGTTACAAAACAGAGGGACGCCAGCAATCAACGTTAGGTAAATCCAACAAGGATCAAGGGTCACGTGGAGGAAGGACTACACGCTTGAGGTTTGGGGATATTCGTATCAAAAGCATGGGCGGAAAGAGATTGCATTGTACTGTTGGAACCATACTACCTTTAAAAAAATTGCTGAACAGTGGGGAGAGTTAATCGCATTGGGAGAAAATGCAACTCTAGAATTTATGTGCAAGGCTTAACAGCTGAAAAATTTTAACATACTAAAATTTTAAGTCTGAAGAATCAATTTATGGATTGTGAGGTGTCTCTCGTATTGGGAGAAAATTGCTTAACAACTGAAAAATTGGATGTGCAAGGCTTTAGAATTTATTGCATGACTAGTGAACCTAAGGCAAAATCTAAGAAGAAGAAGCCAAAGAAAGCCAAGTTTAAGTCTCTCAAGAAGGGGTCTTTAAATTGTAAAGAAAGCCAAGGAAAGGAAAATGAGAGGGAAATGATGGAAAGAAGAATCAGTTATAAGATACGACACACACACAAGAAAACATTTTGTTTACTTCATGACAAAAGAAAACACTTCTCGAAGTTAAAAAGTCAGTATTATAAAATCCAAAAAAACATGAACAGTCCATGGGATTTAGTCAATTAAGCAAGCACTGCTCAAATCTATACCATAAGCTTGCATAACACAAAACCAAAAACGATAACTGATAATTGCTACCTAACTTTATTCTCTTTCTCTTTAATTCTTTCCTTAATGAATTCCCAAATAGGAGGAATCCTTCCAGTTCTCACAACCAAAATATGCTACAAATCCCAGTCAAACAAGACATAATCAAAGTTAAAACTTGAAAATATCTTGGCCCCCATAAACCGAATGGGTAAAAAAAATACTAAAAGGATCTAAAATTTTATGAGCTAATGGTTCAAGATCCTCTTAATCACTTGAGGAAATACTCTAAAAAACTTAGTTGAGTGAGAATTGTCAGGTACTTGAAAAGAAAACAACATAAAACCTGCTAGGAATGTCCATTACCCGCAGTTTTCTTAATAACCAAACAGAGGCGTAAGACTAACGTAATGTTACAAACTTCAAAAACCACAATGATTCAACTATTATACTCCAGTAAATCTGGGTACTTCACGGAACAATCAAGAGTTAGAAACTCATCCAACGTTGCGCACGGAGAAGCATTGCAAATGACGAAATCATAGCAGATAAATGCAACATTATGGAGCTCAATCAATAAATTAAACAACGAAAAAAACAAAATTCATAAGCAGGAAACTATAAATGGTAATAAAAATGGGTTTTAAGAACCAAAAAGATCTCAGTAAAATACTTATCAACAATGCAATGCTAGATGACATGGTGGTGGTTACCGAATCAATCACCACATACATAGGGAAAATGACAGGGCGATTGGTACCTTTTAAAGAGATTTACCCTTGAAAATCAAAGAGAATAGCAAAAGGGGAGGAAGAGCATTAGGGATTCGAAATATTACCCTAGAATCGTAGAGCTCCTCACTTGATTTTGCTGGAAAAAATCTGCTAATTTTGTTGTTGTGAGTAATTGTTTTTAGAGAGAAGAAGATGGTGATAGTTGATCGGAGAATGAAAGAGATCAAAGGCAAAGGAAAATGAGAGACAGTTGGTTCGTAAAATGAATTCCCGTTTTTTCCATGGTAAGTTGTTTTACGGGAACGAAGGAGCTTCTTTTACGTTGACCGTAAATGATTTTACATTGACCAAAGGTTTTTACGGAATCAAACACTGAAATTCGGGGAAAACCAATTCCTCCAAACAAACAGACTCTAAATTTTATATAAATCCTTTAAGGTTTCTAAAATGAAATTTCAACTAACAATGAACATCTAATTAATTCGCATAATTGTTCTTGTAAAGTAAAATCTAATTCGTCAAAAAAAATGATTTAAAGCATATACACCGATTTCTCCATCTCAAACGCGCTGCTGCCCTTTTTGCTTAGAAAATTAGAAGAAGAAAAACGAGTGAAATTGCTATTAGAAAACAAGTAAAGTCCTATACATTTCTCTCTTCTATTTTATAGCCTTCAAAGTGGGAAGCTTTTGTTAGCTTAAAGGATTGAATCTTGTAGCCAAACTTTTGCCGAAAGGAAAACAAAAAGGAGCAGCAATTCCTTCAAATCGAAATCCTCTATCATTGAAGGAAAGCAAAGTCATACAAGCTGGTTAGGCATTGCCTTGTGAATATTTAAGTACTTGCAGTTTGCGCGATTGTCACTAAGAACCTGCAAAACAGCATCATTGCAACCGTAAGACCAGTAGCACGAAGTAAACACTCGCTAGTTCTATGTCACAATGATCTTGGATCATGCATATCGATAAGACCAACATAGAATTTTATGTTACGGAGGAGATTATCCCATCCGTTCCCTTCGGCTTATCTCTATAGGCTGATCTTATTCCCATCTTAATGCATCACAAAATGAACATGGAGTCCCAACTCGTCCTCTACTTGATACAGAGGACTCAATTTTTTTAACCTAATGATTAAGTTAAACTATCTGCCTAATAAATTTTCATCTTATTTCCATCTTTTGTGCTAAGCCAGTTTTACGTACCTTGAACTGCTTTTGAAGGTCCTTGATGTACTCCACTGCCAAATCCAACATGTCTGCTGTGTTTGTTTGCTGCCCAATCAGAACAACTCAGTTTCCTTGTACAATTTCTTTACCCCAAAAGTTTGTGCATTTCACAGACTTAATCTTTCTCCTACAGGTTGATTATTTCTAATTCTTTTAATTTTTAAAATATAAAAGTTCAATTCGGATATCAACTTTTTCATTTAATTTTGTCAAATCTTTTTCCGTGACTTAGTTAAATATATTTTTTTGAAAATGATATGAAACAGTATTTTAAAAATATTTTCACAAAATTGATTTGATATTTAAATTATTATTAAAAATATATTGTAAAACGATAAAATGATGTTTTTGAACCTTATATAAATTATATTTAAATTAATTGATCTTATAATACATTAAATATATCAATTTAATTAAGTTAATAACACAAAAGATATTTTTATTAAAAAATAAATTCGTAAATTATTGTAAAAATTACATTAAGATGTGTAAAATTCAAAATAATTTTATTTTAAAAATTTAATATACTAAGACTTAAAAATATCATACCTGAAAATAATTTATTAATTATATAATAATGTATTGATAGAAAATTATAAAATAAATACAATATATGATAATAAATAGAAATTAAAGCTATATTTTTTTACTTTGAAGCACTTTGAAATGGAAAAACTAAAAATATCAACCTTCGATCTTTAAATTTTTTAAAAAAATCAAACTTATATTTTCTAAAAAAATCATCTTTTTAACATTATTTATAGGTTTCACAATACTTTTAACAAAAAAAAACACTTTTTAGAAAATGCTATATAGAATATAGAACTTGATTTATTACAATTGTGTCGCACGTTTTATAAAAATTATAATATTTATAGAAATTGCAAAAAAAATAGTAAAGTGTAGATGTCATTTTAACAGAATGAATGGAAAAAAATGATGATTGCAGAATTGAATATACAAGTTTCAAAACAAGAGATCAAATCTAATAAAAACGCATAGTATAGGGATCTTTTATAAATTGGACCGAAAAGTGATTTACCTTGTCCATGTTGGGGACAAGCTCCTGAAGCTTTCTCATCCGTTCACTGATACGGGTTCTTCTCACCTGGAAAAAAAAGAAGGTAATTTAACCTTTAACACAATCATCTTCATTAAATCACCAAATGTGTTCAGATAAAACTTGGGGTAAACTACCTATATGGTTACCCACCTATTACCTAGTTTCTGTCTTGAGCATTCAATTATCTGTTTTCATCCCCTGCGGTTGAAAAATTAATGATGGCGTTGACTTGTTATTTTTTAAAATTATTTTTTCATTATTGACATGGTATCATCTTGTGATGACACATCAGTATTACTATTGATCTTTAAAGGCGTGTGATCAAAACAAAAACCAAATAATAGGTGGGTGACCAAATAGGTAATTTACCCTAAAACTCAAAGCTGAAAAAACCTTAAAAAAATTGGGTTGGTTATTTTACCCTTTCTGCAATGCTTCGAGGGTGAGTAGCATAACCACGCTTAGCTCTGATCTTACAAGGCACTGAATCTTGAAAATGCAGATACTTATCCACCGCAGCCATCTCATTTGAAGTCTTTGGTACACTCAAATGGTGCGATAATACATGAACACCACTTCCAACATCACCATTCTACTCATAAAACAACCACTCACAAATACAACCTATGGTATTCTCATAATCGATATGCAACGTAATAATACCTGGTTATCTCGTGACATTTTCGAGCCGGAAAAATTGTGTAAATTGTGCAGAACCTTTCCAAGAACCGCCGTCGAAGCTATTAGCCCCAACTTCATCGTCGCCGATTTCGGATATCTGCGACAACATGCTCAATGAAGAAGGTTGCGTTGCTGAGAAGCTAATCTGATTCTTCATTCCCTTCGAAGATGGACTCAATTCTCCAATGTAGTTTCCCAAATCTTTCATGCTGGCATAGCCTGCAGTTTATTTAACCAACAGTACAGTTTCAGCTGACTTTGGCTTACCACAGAAACCCCAGCCGGCTCTAAACATTCAGAGTTCTATCGTTTAATTTAAGTATAATAATAAAAAATATTTATAATATTTAATTAAATAGTTCTTTTTGTCTAAAAATAAAACGTTAAAATAAAACTAGAAAAAAATAAAGGACAGTGTCTTTTACATTATTATGAAACCTTGAATATCAAAATACTCAGAAAATTAAGTCAAGAATAATTATTTAATCCAATGTTAATTACTTCATATTTTTTTTATATTTCACTTTTAATTTACAAAAGAGAAAATCGCCTCAGTGACCAAAAATGTCTTATAATATACGATTTTAACCAACTTTTTTTGGATTTGCCAAAATGACCAACAAAATCGCAACGCGAAATAAAAATCGCAACGCGATCCCCAGAATCGCAAATCAGTTTCCAAAATCGCAACGCGATTCTTGAAAATCGCAATGCGATAGTACAAATTCGCATTGCGATTTTCCAGAATCGCAACGCGAATATGAAAATCGCAACGCGAACACATAAATCGCAACGCGTATCCGTAAACCGCAACGTGTATCCGTAAATCGCAACGCGTATCCGTAAATCGCAATGCGTATCCGTAAATCGCAACGCGTATCCGTAAATCGCAACGACAATACGTAAAATCGCAACGCGTATCCGTAAATCGCAACGCGATTTTTAAAGCGCCATTATAATCGCTACGCGTATTTTATTTTCAAATTACAAAAACGAATATTAAGACAAAATCCCGTAATCGCAACTCATAACCTAAAACCTAAAATCACAACTCAGTCCCATCTCCATCTCTCACTCTCTACGGCGAAATCCGTCCTCATCTCCGAAGATTTCCGTCCCCATCTCCGGCGAAATCCCTCACAACCATTCACGGTCAGAAATCCCTCACAATATTCAGAAATGGAAAATCAACATCCGAGGGTTAGTTTTTTTAATTATTTTTATTTTGAAATTTTTGCATTATTGTAGGTTTTTCATATTGAAACTGATGATAAGTTTACTGGATAGATTAACCATTTCACTTAGATTTCATTTCGCGTTGCGATTTTCATTTCGCGTTGCTATTCTCTCGTTGCGATTTTCAAGTTAGTATTTGTCTTTGTCTTTGTTCTGTCTTTTGGTTGAAGTAATGCAATCCATTCAAGTTTCAATTTGCAGAAGAGTCGCAACGAGAGAAATGAAAATCGCAACGCGAAAATGACTATCTGCAACGAGAGAAATGAAAATCGCAACGAGAGAATCGCAACGCGAAATGAAAATCGCAACGAGAGAATCGCAACGCGAAACCAAAATCGCATTGCGATTTTCATTTCGCGTTGCGATTCTCTCGTTGCGATTTTCATTTCTCTCGTTGCGATAGTCATTCTCTCGTTGCGATTTTCATTTCAACCAAAAGACAAAACAGTGTTGCAAATTTTAGTTTCAAGAATAAACTACTACTTTTTATGTTTATTGTTTTTGGTATATCTTCACAGTGTAGTTTTTGTTATATCTAACTTGGTATGTTTATTGTTTTTGTAGAAATTTTTTTCGGCTTCATTGACATTAAGGAATAAAGTTAGCCTAGCCACTACAATTGCTTCGAAGCTTTCACCTGCACAAAGACAATTGTTTGAGGAAACCTGCTTCGGGCCATGGCTGAGAGTACAGCATCCGGGTGGAGATGCTAATTTGACCCATTTGTGGCTTCAGACCATGACATCAAATCTACCCGACAGTATACAACGTGGTGAGGAAGAGATATGGTTTCATTTTCCACCAGCGTATATTTGTTTTGGGCGGAAGGAGTTCTGCTTAATCACTGGTCTACGATTCGGACACGATGATGTAGGCCGGTACACTCGTCATATCGCCCGCCCATCATGGTTATCCCGGGTTTTTCCGGATGAGTCAATGAAGAAGCCGAACCTACACGTTGACGACCTGAAGAAATTGTTTAATAAGAAAGATGGTTTCACTCGGATGGATGACGTCGATTTTGTCCGAGTATGCCTTCTACTACTTTTGTATGCCGGCTTTTTAGGCAGAGAGGCCAGACAACCTATTCCTCGGGAGCTAATAATATTGGTAGAGGACCTGAATGCATGGAATCTGTTTCCGTGGGGTTCGTATATATGGAAAGCTACTTGGACTAAGTTGTCTACTGCCTTTGATGACCGCAAAAGTTTGCGTGGCGATGGGTCGAAATACACTTTGTCATGCTTTGTTTGGGCCTTTAAGGTAAGAATTTCTATATAATGTTTCTAAAATTATAATTAATTATTTAACAATTACTAATTTTGTTATTATATTGTTTGTAGATTTGGATATTCGAGGCTTTCCCAAGCATGCGTACATATGCAATAAAAACGTCAAATGATATTCCCAGGGCTATTTCCTGGAAGAGGAAAAATCTGTTGGATTGGGAAGACTTAATATCATATGCGACAATAAATAATGTAAGTTAACACAAATACTTTCATATATATATAAACAAGTTATTAATAGTAGACGTTTAACTTTGTTTGAGTTTTTATATTGTTAGGAGGCCAACATTCCATTACAAAGACTGACACCCACGGAGGAAGAGCTTGCCACTGATTGGTGGCAAGCTAGTCAGAGTTTTTTTGATGGCACGGATGATGAGCAGCATCCACTTCCTCCAATTCGAGAGCCATCACCTCACCTAGAGCCATCACCTGATCGACCCGACTATACACCTCTAGAACGAGAGCCATCACCTATCCCGTCACATCATCGAGCCTCTTCTCCACCATCACCTCATGATAGGCGACCGGCAAAGATGCCACGACTCCTATCTCCCTGTTCTCCACCTCTACCTCCACGGGATGAGTCAAGGGAGTTACGTGATGAGGTCAATGCCTTGCGTGAGGAGATCGGTACTCTACGCGATAACGATGGTGCATGGCGTGTGGAGGTGTCAACTTTACGTGGTGAGGTTGCCGCTCTACGTGAGATGATAGTATCGTTGCAGAATGAGGTTCATACTCTACGCAATGAGGTAAGTTTAAGATTTTCCATATTTAACTTGATGATAAATTTACTCGTAATTTCACTTAGATTAGCCATTTCACTTAGATTGCTTAGTAAATTTATTCGGTTGCTGCCAATTCTGCTAAACTGTGTATTCTTTAACACTGTGAAATAGTATTTGTCTTTGTTTTGTCTTTTGGTTGAAAGTAAATTTGTTCGGTTGCTGCCAATTCTCCTAAACTAATACCCTGAAGTCAGTATTTGTCTTTGTTTTGTCTATTGGTTGAAGTAATGCAATCCATTCAAGTTTCAATTTGCAGAAGAAGAAATAGTTTACTTTCGCAATACGAAACTTAAAATCGCAACGCGAAACCAAAATCGCAACGCGAAATGAAAATCGCAACGACATAATCGCAACGCGAAACCAAAATCGCAACGACAAAATCGCAACGCGAAACCAAAATCGCATTGCGATTTTCATTTCGCGTTGCGATTCTCTCGTTGCGATTTTCATTTCGCATTGCGATTCTGTCGTTGCGATTTTCATTTCGCGTTGCGATTTTGGTTTCGCGTTGCGATTTTGGTTTCTCGTTGCGATTCTCATTTCGCGTTGCGATTTTAAGTTTCGTGTTGCGAAAGTAAACTATTTCTTCTTCTGCAAATTGAAACTTGAATGGATTGCATTACTTCAACCAATAGACAAAACAAAGACAAATACTAACTTCAGGGTATTAGTTTGAAACATATTTTTCTTTGTTATCTGATGCATTTTGTGAACTATGATAGAATAATGACTTGGGTGAATACAATGCAAGTTTGAAACATATTTGTCTTTGTTTTCACTGTTTAAATATCATGTCTGTTTATTTACTAATTTTTGTATTTAATTATTTAGCGGCCCGATAGAGTGGATGCTTTACGTCGGGTTATGCTTGCACGACGGAGTTCACGCATCAGACAGCGTGCACGTGCTATTAAGTCTCCGTACACCCCAATAGTGCGAAGACACCGCAAGAAGAAGCCCGACTCGCCTGTCATCCCTCAAGAGTCCACTCCTATCGTTGAAGAGGCCCCCCCCTATCATTCCTCGAGAGTCCCCTCCCACCGTTCAAGAGGCCACTATCATCATTGAAGAGGTCCCTCCCACCATTCAAGAGCCCGATTCACATGGCGTCATATGTAGGCTTCTTGAGAAACCCTCTGACGTGCCGGACATAATGGATGAGAGTTGGCTCTCGTATAAGTTACCGGCCAGTACCATTCCGGTATCGGAAGTGGAGAGGAGACAACTACCATACACAATTCTGGATAACACCCTTTGGGCTAAGACCGCAGTTGATTTTTATCTACATGAGCGGAGCCAGGGGTGTTTCACTGACATATGCAAGCTCACCGATGATATCTATTTGTTGCTTGATCGGTCTTGGTGGGGCGTATTATTAGGGGTCGAAGACAATGACTATTTCGATGGGGGGGTAAGTCTTATATTTTTCTTATATTTCAATTTGATTAATTTTTTTTAAATTTATGTAAGTCACTAATATATGTCTTTTTTTGTAAAACAGCATATCGATGCGTGGGTGACACGTCTTATAATAATAAGAAAACTTAAGAAAAATAAAAATATAAGATATACAATTATGCCGACGTCTTTTAACGCCGTTCACTTGAAGAATCAACGAGATGAATCATTTGATTTGGGCAATGGACAAGCTAAACTTTATCCTGCATGGTGGGAGGTCGATAAGGTTAGTATTTATTTTAGATTGAGTTTAAAGGTTTTATGAAATAAGTGCGCAAATGAATGAATTATTACTTATGATTGCAGGTGTTTATCCCTGTTTTGGAACGTAAACATTGGATTCTCGTCGAGCTTCAGCTCCCATCCCTTAAGACAATAGTGTATGACAGCATGATAAATTACATATCATTGGCTGATTTAAGAGATATTATTAAGGGATGGAGCTCTCATTTGGCTAAATTCTTGGATGCGATCAATTATTGGACTCGTTCTGGAAACAAGAAGCCAAAGAAGCTCAATATTACAGTTATTAGAGACGAGACCGCGCCACAACAAACGGAAGGAGCCAGAGGAGATTGTGGTCCTCTCGTATGCTTGGCGTTGGAGCGTTTGACGACGGGAAGCACCAAGTATCTACCTCCCACCGATAGAGATAGAGCTGCAGTAGGCTTGTGGTTTCGGCATTATATGGCTAAATCGATATATACGAGACGCTGCCTACCTGCATCCGCGTTATAAAAATGTCCATAAACAATTGGTAAGTTTATAGACTTTTGGTTTGAAAATGTTTGGTTAAGTACCTAGAATTCAATAATTTGCTGTTTGTAGGTTTTAGATGTGTAGAAAGTGTTGTTTGAGCAAATGTTTGGTTTCTGCATGTTAATCTCAGAAGTGAACTGCGTGAAAATGATGTATGGCTGCAAAAGTTGATTCAATAGTTTAATTGATTGTTTTTTGATTGTTTAATTGATTTGTAAAAGTTGATTCAATAGTAGATGATTGGAAATAAGAATTATTGCTTATTTTTTGATTGTTTAATTGATTTGTAAAAGATGATTTGTAAAAGTTGATTTGTTTAATTGATGCGAACATAATTCTTATTTGTGCTTGTTTAATTGATTGAAATGTAATGGTTGATTTCAATCTGCATTATGTTGAAGGCAAAAATGACTATCGCAATGCGGAAATGAAAATCGCAATGCGAAATGAAAATCGCAACGAGAGAATCGCAATGCGAAATGAAAATCGCAATGCGGAAATGAAAATCGCAACGAGAGAATCGCAATGCGATTTTCATTTCGCATTGCGATTTTCATTTCCGCATTGCGATTCTCTCGTTGCGATTTTCATTTCGCATTGCGATTTTCATTTCCGCATTGCGATTTTCATGTTGGGATTTTCATTTCGCATTGCGATTCTCTCGTTGCGATTGTAATTTCCGTGTTGCGATAGTCAAATGCATGCCTAATAAGTGATAACAATTGAATAACAAGAGTTGGTTAAGTCAAAATGGTTGGCCTGAGTCATTAATTCAACTGAAAATGTTAAAAGTTCACATATAAAATCCACATAATACAACGTTTGCATTTAAAAATCACCTAAGTTAACAGTCCCAAAAGGTGAAGCCAGTTGTGATTGGGATTTTAAAGATGATTTCCTTTTGCTTGACACCATATGAGCTTTGGATTTTGATGAGGATCCATATTTTGGTAGAGGAAAAGATGATTGTGATGGCACTGATGATCCACATGTCAACCTTGTATGACCACTTTCCTTGCACCGACTACATGTCGATCTCTTCTTCTCTTCACCCTTAGACGGTATACGATCGTGACTTTTTGGTCGGCCAGGTAGCCTTCTGTCCATGGCTGGTGGCAAAACTGTTTGTAAGTCATCTGGTATGTCCCACTCAGAAGGATGTGGAATATGGTAGACAATCTCGGCATAAGTCTGTCGATAAACTTCTGTAGTGTAGCAATCCATAGCGTATGCGCTTGAATCATCTTGGTTTAAATGAAGAGCAACTTTTATAACATGGCCACACGGATAACCAGATGTTTGCCATTTCATACAACTACACGTCTTTGCATTTAGATCGACCAGCCCATTTAAGTTATTATCCAGTACTTGAAACAAAGTGTTTGAACATGGTTCAACTCTCCATGACGTTGACTTCACAACACGTCTCGTTATCTTTTTTTCAGTCCATGGTGTAACACGATGTTCCAATGTTCCTGTAAATTTAAATAAACAATACTTAGTAAAATATATAAATATGATAAGTTACGAATTCAAAGAAACAATACCTGCATGGTTTCTTTTCTTGTAGTACCACTGTTGAATAGAGGCTCGAAAAAACTCCATTAACATAGTAATGGGTAATTTCCGGGAATGACGACTTAGAGCGTTGATTGATTCTGCACTATTAGACGTCATGAAACCATATCTTGCTCCAAGTTGATGTACTCTTGACCATCTTTCAAACCCGACATCTTCTAGTGTTTGAGCACACTGAGGCAAAACACATCTTAAACAGTTTATATGCTTATTGAAATCCACTTCCCGATAAGCTTTTACAGCCTTCCAGTATGTCCATTTGTGCTTTTTTATACCAGCAGACCTTGATTTTAGATTTCTATACAAATGAACACCACAAAGTCCATGAAAAGCATCTGGGAAACACCTTCTAACAGCGTTGTCAATTGAGTTTTCCCTATCGGATATGATTGTCAGATTGCTAATAGGACATATGCAATCCCTAAGATGCCCCATAAACCATGTCCATGAATCAGAGGTTTCAGATTTGCCAACCCCGTAAGCTATTGGCAATATCCCATTGTTAGCATCCATAGCTACTGCTAATAAGTTTACTCCAAGGTATCGACCTTTCAAATGTGCTCCGTCAACTATAATAACTGGGCGCATGCAAGTAATAAACGAACGAATCTACAAAATAATATACACAAGAAATATAATCATTTAAATGTGAAATGCATGTAACTAACAAAAATGAGTCAACAAAATTATATTGATTTACTAACCGTAGCACCAATGGCGATAAACAGCAACTCAAAGTGTCCATCTCTATCTGTTTTGATATGAGTTACCGACCCAGGATTTTTCAGCTTTAAATTGTGACAATAAGCCGGCAGTTGGGCAAACGATGCTTCTGGCGACCCCCTCAACAATTCCAAGGCATAACATTTGGCTCTCCAAGCTTGAGAATATGATATACTAATCTTGAACCGAGCATTCATGTCAGTCATAATTTCATGTCCCCGATATACCCTGCCATTCAAAAACATTAACTCAGCCAGAAAACCACCCAACACCTTTTTGTTTGCCTGTCTATGGTGAGGAAAAACTTGGGTTCTTGAACATGTATGTTTATCAATAAAAGTCCTAACTTGAAACATTTCGCAATCTTTTATTCTCTTTGCAATCATACGCCACGTACAGTTTTTGTCAATCATACACCTTGTTTCGAAACGATCTTTGCTTGATTTGTTAACTTTTAGTTGATAGCCATCTTCCACACATTTCGTATACAAAGCTATCTTCAAGTCTTCATTTGTATCAAAACAATCATCTTTCTTGATACGAATAAGTTTTGTGTAACAATCAACTGCTTTCTTTACCAACTCTTCTTCCGGTATCTGAAGTAATTCTGGCATATTCCAGTTATACGCCCGTGGCATTTTCTTTTCTTCGGGGACTTTTTCTTCTTCTTTTTCTTCTTCAGGATTATATGAATTACAGAATGGATGTTCAACATGTTCATTCACAGTCGTAACTTCCTCCTCATTATCATCAACAATATCTTCTTCGGCAACGGCTGTTTCATCATCAAAATTCGGGTATTGACCAATATCAAAATCATTACACGCAGGGTCTGTTTCTTCTTCTGAAACATCATCAAAATCCGTGTATTGACCAATATCAAAGTCCGGATATTGACCAAGACCAAATTTCGAATACTGACTAGTACTCACAATTTTTTCTGTTGGCTCATCATCGTCTAACTGGTCAATACGAAAACCGGAATTTGGTGCTGAAAGTTGATTGGGATTTGGATTAGAGAAAGGTTGTGGGTTTTGAGAAAAACTTAGTTGATTACTACCCGCTACTGACCCAACAATACTACTTCTAGTTTCAACAACATACAATGTAATATCATCTTGTGAAACACTAATGTAAGCAATGAATCGTTCAACATCTTCATTGTCGGTTAACAAATAAACTTTACCATTTCTCTGATAAGATAGCCTAAATCCACTTAGGGGCTCTAAATTCAATTTCTTTGAAACACGTAGCATTAGAGTTTCATAAGTTAACTTTTGTAAAGACAATTTTAGTTGAAGATTCATGGGTAAAGGCATATATTGTAAAACACCATGAACATTATCCCATGACCCTCCAAAACACAAATCTATCCAAACATGATCAACATTAGATGATTTCATGGTTGTAAATTAATTTACTAAACAGACGAGCTGCGAAACTAAAACCTGTTGTCGGATTGGGAAGGATGTCGTTGGATATAGGAACGGATGTCGCCGGAGAGAGTGATAGATGGAGATGGAATGAGTTGCGATTAAGGGATTTAGTTTATGATTTGCTGTTGTTGCGTAGTTATATACCCAAAATTTCAGTGTTGTGATTTACAGATTCTCGTTGCGATTTACGGATTATCGTTGCGATTTACAGATTCTCGTTGCGATTTACGGATTATCGTTGCGATTTACGGATACGCGTTGCGATTTACGGATACACATTGCGATTTACGGATACGCGTTGCGATTTACGGATACACGTTGCGGTTTATGGATACGCGTTGCGATTTATGTGTTCGCGTTGCGATTTTCATATTCGCGTTGTGATTCTGGAAAATCGCAATGCGAATTTGTACTATCGCATTGCGATTTTCAAGAATCGCGTTGCGATTTTGGAAACTGATTTGCGATTCTGGGGATCGCGTTGCGATTTTTATTTCGCGTTGCGATTTTGTTGGTCATTTTGGCAAATCCAAAAAAAATTGATTAAAATCGTATATTATAAGGCATTTTTGATCACTGAGACGATTTTCTCTTTACAAAAATCCCAATGAAGAAAGTGGAGGGTAAGAAAAGCAAAAAGGTAAAACTTTTCATCTTTCTTATTAAATAGACCAATATATGTATGTATATGTATATATATTGTTCTTTCCAATCTTACCCAACAGACCCTAAATACTAGGGGAGAAACATCTAGCAAAACAGGAAAAAAAAAGTATAAACTATAAATAAAGTGAAAATCATAAATGAGCGCAAGAAGAATACCATTTTGAATAAAAATCCCTGGCGGCGAGCTGCTTTGCCTCGTTAAAATAGAAGTAGCCGGTTTCCCTTGACTCCGTCGATCCAATAAGTCATATGAGCTATGCCCCGGATACTGAGGCGGCAACCCTGAACTTGCATAGTTAGCAGCCGCCTCTGACCCAGGTTTACCCTCTACTTCGCCGTTTCCGCCGCTTGAACTAATGAATTTGGATATATCGAAACCGCCTTTGTTGACGCCACAATCAACGGTATCGGTGAAATCAGCGGGAACAGAGATTGGAGCAGAACGAAAACGTAATAACCCAGAACCGGATTGGCTATTCTGGCCTTGATAGCTTCGATGGGTACTTGAATCCATTGAAACTTCCCCTATTTTGACTCTGCCTTTTCCGATACGTTTGTGCTAATGACTTTCTAGGTAGAAAACCATTCTACGTATTCCGACTGGACGTCCTTTAAAAGGAAGATGAAGATTCTCAAGGAATTTTGCCCTCAGTTTCCCAGAAGAAAATTTTCAGCTTAGTTTCTAAGCAGAGCCAGAAAAGATCTTGAAGAAGAAGCAACTAAAAGGAATGGCTTCGTTTTAAGAACTGCAGGACCAAAGCTCCAACAACAAGAAGTTGACTAGGGAAGGAACCTATGAAAATTTTGAAATAAATGGAAGTTGAAGGATTTAGAAGATATAAATCGGATAAAAGAAAAAAAAATGGATTTAAGAGGGAAGAGAGAGACGGATGGGAGATACAGAGGCGCCTCAGATTTGGATTTCAGAGCAGCAATAGCAAGGAAGATCTAATGATAGCAAGGAAGATATAAATCGGATAAAAGAAAACTTGTCATTTTTTATTTAAAATTTTATTACAATCTGAACTTCATTTTAACCTCTTAAATAAGATTTAATAAAACCTGATTTTAAAATCTCAAAAATACTATTATATTTTAATCAATATGTTAATATTAACTTAAATAATAGTTAATTTTTAATGAAAAAGAAGAATTTAGAACATATGAATATATAATTGAAAGATCATTTATAATTTATAATAGTCGAAAACTCATCAAAACAACACACAATATATTTTACTATTTTATTTTAATATAATACACGTTTTAAAAAATAATCTATTGTGAAAGATAAATTGGTAGACCTTAAGCAAGAAGCGTTGGATTTATAAATCATGCATATATTTATTGCTTATCGTTATCTATGCTAGTATGTTTGTGAGATTCATGATGTAAACTCTATATTAACATTATACTACTAAGCTTGTAAAATTCAACATTCAATTGTTTTCATTCGTAGGTTAATAGCTTAAACTTGATCAAGAAGTATCGTCGTAGCAGTAGCTTGAGTTTAACCAAGGAATATCATTACAACAGTAGCTTGAGCTTGTTCGAGGAACACCTTTTCAGTCGAAATTTTGATACATTCCTTAGGAGTGTTGTACTATTACTTCAATTTAACATTACATTCACAAGATCCTTAATTATGTATTTGAAATTGTACTCCAAATTTTATATTATATTATTTTAAATAACATGTCACGAAGTTTCCAATTCAACACCGGGAATCAATGGTGGGATTGTACCATGAAAAAACATGGAATTGATTGACTTGGAAGTGTTGCTACCAAATAACATGATGGTCTGCTCTGTTGTATGATTTTCCTTCAATGGTGATAGCAAAATGTGAAAAGAAAGGAAAAGTGATGGCTTGATTTATGGATGTAATGCGAACATTTGCACATGACGAGTAATGTCACCTTGTAGTTAACATTGTAAACACAGGAGAATGGGGAAAGTTATACAAAATGGAGTAGAAAGCATAAAATATTGAAACAGTGATTATAATTAAATGCTAGAAAATGACGAATCATCTTCTCCTTTGGAAATGTGTCGGACCTTGATCCTGCACCTCGTGGCCATTTCCCCAACCTGCAGAAACAATTTACCATCTTATCTATATGTATATAATGACTTGTATTTTATGTAAAACAAAAAAAAATATTATCATGATAAAAACAATTATAAACAATTTTTGAGAGATATATATTAATACATATCTGATTAATATAAAAAATTAAAATTAGTAGTTTGGAGGGAAAAATTAAAATAATTATACTTAGGCCTATAAACCAATCGGACGAACACGAACGAATGTATGTTCATATTCGTTTGTTTAATTTTAACACAACAAACGAACGGACACGAACACGAACAACTAAACGAATGAAATTTCTCGTTCGTGTTCGTTCATTAAGAAAATTAATATGTTTGTGTTCTTTCGTTTAAATGATAAATGAACACAAATGAACAAACGTAAATGAATGTAAACAAGTGAACATAAAATCAATTGTGTTTATATTTGAGAAGTGTTTTTTTTTTCTTTTCAAATAATTTTAGGATTTATATTTTCTTTAATTGACTTGAGTACTTTTTATCTGGGTTTAAAATTAAATTAGTTAAAAATATTAATGCATTTAAGGTTAAAATATATTAAATCTTTATATTCAAACGGGTCTGGAGAACAAAAACGAACATAAACAAATATAAATGAAAGAACATAAACGAACATATTATCGAATGTTCAAATGAACGAACGAGCCTTTTGTTCGTGTTCGTTCATTTAATTAAACGAACATAAAATCTTGTTCATATTTGTTCGTTTAATAAATAAATGAACATAAATGAAATTCTCGTTAAACGGTTCGTTGAACGTTCAGTTCATTTACATGCCTAATTATACTTTTAGTCAAGTGAGATTATTTTTTAAATAATTTTGGGCGATTACAATATGACATTTGTTTAAAAATTTTCTAATCATTTACAACATACATATAACCTAATGACTAGACTATTTGAATACGAGATCTTTAAAGAAAACGACACTTCTTTTAACAACTAAGATAACTTGATAGGTCCAAATAAGATTTTATATATAATCAAATAAATTTTTACCTATTTTATTCAGTCTAATGACATGTTTAGTCCTTGAACTTTTAAGAATTTAGCTCTGAAAGTTTTTCACATATTTAACTCTCAAATCATTTATTTATTTTTTGTTAAATTAAATCAATTCATAGAAAATAATCATACTTTGTCAATTGTTTTATTTTTTACTAAATTTGTATATTTTAAATATTTTTTAAATTTTATATTTTTATCACTTATATATAATTGTTAATAATTTTGCTTTTAAATATTTTATCATTTTAAATTATCAAATAATAGACATCAGTTTAACAAGTATAATAATTTTCTTGTTGTAATATCCAAGATGTGAAGTTGAAGTTACTACAAAGTTTAACAAGGGGGAGAGGCTAGAGAAGCAGCTACAACAAGGACAAGGAATTGGAGAAGGTAAGATGAATGTTATGAGTATAGATTTAGTTTGAATCTTAGTCTAACAAAGTGCAGGTTATTGTTTAGGTTCTGTATAAACTAAATTGTTAGCAAATTTATTATGAGGTTAGTCTCAACTGACTCGTACGACTTGTATAAATTTTATTTGGTCTCCCTGGGGATATTACGGGCTTATCAATAAAACTTGTGAGAGTGTTGTCTCTCTTCCATACTTCTCTCCAAGCTTTTGTTCCTCCTCTCTTTTGTGTTTCCTGTGACTAGCATTTTGCTTATCACTGGTATGGCTATGAACTCAACATGGTATCTTTGGTTGAAAGGTCTTCTCGTTCTTCTCTACTGCTGTGCTCGTTGATCATCGTCATTTTGGTTTCAATTTGTATTAATGACGGAAAATGCTTTAAGTGCAGTTCGAAGCGGGTGACTCATAAATCAAATCCCAGGCTATTTTCTATCTTGATTGCAAGCATTTTGTCTCCGAACTTTTGTTGTCCGAGGAGCAAATAGTGACAACTCGATCACCTGTGGTAAGATTCATGTACCCACTCTCATTTTTTTGCATTAATCTTTTGATCTCCAGTTTCATTCTCAAGGATTATCTGTTGAATCATGTGGAAATCTGTCTCATGGCGACTCATTGGTTGAAAAACAGATTAGTGATTGTTAGGTATCCTTTCTGATCGAACACTGTGCCTCATTGAATATTTTGTTTTTCCTTGAGGCTTTATAGCGTTTTCACCTTCTTGAGCGTGGATTTCTTCTCTGAATGTTTTTTTCTGGTCAGTTTGCTGGTTGTTTGTGGATTCAGTTAGTTTTCTTTGTGATTTTGTTGGTTTGCTATTGGTTCGATACTAGATAGTGATTTTCACTTTGGCGTGTGTTTTTCTACATTTGAATTGTTTGCGTTATTGCCCGTCTGAAGTATTTTTATGCAATGACACAAGGAATACTCCTAGCTTCCAGCCCCAGTGAAAGCTCGTTTAATGTTGCCTCCAGTTCTTATCTTGTCCATTATCTCCTAAAAATTGATACGATAAAGATGTCAACAAATACATATGTTATCTGAAAACATCAAGCAACATTAATAATTACTAGTTATGGTTTACTCAGCTACATTTCCGATGGTTCTCATGTTCTTAGTCAGTTTGTTATAAGTGACACAGGTCAAGCTGCTGAAAATCAAGTGTTCTTGGCACTCGACGACATGGCTCTTGTCTATTGTCGATTATGATGTTCTTCTACATCTTATAGGCCTTGACACCCCCAGTGTCATATGGAATACTTTGTCTCGATTGTTTGCAACGAGGTCTACTTCAAAAAATTCTTCTTTACATCATAGTCTTCACTCACAAAAGAAACGAGGTTTGTCTGTCAGCGAGTATCTAGCAAAAATAAAGTTTGATATATGATACACTGAATGCTTCATGGAGTATGGTTACGAAACAAGAACAAGTCAGTGTGGTTCTTTCTGGCTTTTCTTCCAAGTTTGAGTCGGAAATTGTCGGTTCCTCGCCAGAAGCTTTGTCTCTTGACAACCTTACAAAGATGTTAGTTGACTCGGAAACTAGACAAAAAGAGTTATTTTTTGACTCTCCCAATTCATGCAAACTTAGTAACTCAACAAGGTGATATGAAAGGTGGAAATTCATATTAAAAGAATTACTCAAGTGAGAATCAATATCATAGTTAGAACTCACAAAGCTATTCCAAAGGTCATCGAGTTGTTGGTTACCATCACAGACATAGAAGAGGTCGTTATTCCTCTAACTGACCTCAGTGTCAGCTCTATGATCGTGTTGGACATCTAGTACAAAAAGTGCTACTATAGGGTCGGTCATAATTTTTAAGGACAAACGACTAGTCTGAATGAGTCTTCCAAGGTTGGTGGTTCAAGTCGAAGTAATTTTTCAATTCATGCTCAAAAGGTAGATGTACCTATCCAAGCTTACACTTATGGCATTAGCCCAAACAATTCAACTATCAATTCATCAACAGTCTCACCCCTGGACCTTTTCATCATGGACACATGGTTGGTTATTTTGGTTCCATGCTGTCACCCATGTCAAGTTTTCCAGTAGGTCAATTTTACAGTACTATGCCTAGTGGATTCGTTCCTTCAAATTTTCAACAGAATGCTTAGGGAATATAAACTACAACAAATTTTCTATTGTTTTAATAGTTACATCGGCTTCGTTTCCAGCCGTTTCTCCATCAACAAGCTCTGGAATCGTGAGTACCTCTTGTGCTAAAGAGATAGCTTGGTACCCGACTCCTATGCCACTCATCATATCATAAAGGATTGTTTCAATCTTCAATCCCACATGATTTACAAATGTGATAGCTCCTTACTTATGG